ACTTTTGTTCAATTGAAGTTAAAGGTGTATAAAGAATCAACATTTTAATAAGGTCATAGTTCAATTAAAAAGCCATTTTGAAATGTGTAACATAACGGGAATGACAAGAGATTTACATTAACAATAATATATAAATAAATTCATTAGAAGAACAGTTCATTGCAACCTTCATTACTTATATAACTGTCGACATAAACAAATGCATCATATATACAGGTTGCAGAAGAGATACCTCCCACATATACCTTCCACAAATACCTCTCACATAAAGGTAAGACATTAGCTAGATGAAGACATCATTGCTATTACCGTCTTACTATTTTGTGGGAGGTATTTCTGGAAGATATTTCTGCCACACCTTAAGATATACTAGCAGTAGAGCCCGGCGTTGCCTGGGGATGTAACAGTAAGAGATAGATCAAGTATCGACCATCATAAAGACTAAAAAATAAAATTGACAAAGATTATTATTTAAAGTTGATGGACACGCATGTCTTAATTAGTTTTTTTTAGGGTTTTTTTACGAATTGGTCAAACCCAAACTCAAACAAAAACATTGTTTTCAATCGTTGAGTCTATCGATTGAACAGAATTTTATTATAAACAATTGTCTTGTAAATGGAATTTTTTAAGCATTCTGAATGTAAAAATAAAGAAAAAAGTGTGCAAGACAATAAGAAACACTACCTGCCAAAAAGAAAAGTGAAATTTTGCTGAAATCGGTTGAAAAATGTAGGAAATCCGATCCCATATATAAACGAACACACACAAACAACCTGGGTTTTATGATAATATAACTCGATATGAGTTGTTACCCTTTCATTCTTGCGACAGAGATGCCTCTTAATCTTTTCAAATTAATTTCGTGCAAAAACAATTGTTTTTCCAATTTTTGGCGCTGTCAGAACCATCGCAAGGTAATTTTACATAGTCCTCTGAAGTTTTGTTGAAATCGGTTGAAAAATATAGGAAATCCGATTAAATATATATAAACGAACAGACACACACACACAATCTGCGTTTTATAATAAGTAAGATTCTAATTAATTTTTAATGAACAGTTATCTATAGAGTAAATGGTGTTTGTTTTCCTATTATTAATTTTTTGATGAATACTTTTCCGTATTAATTACAGTTGCTTTTAATCCCGATTTCTCAAACCGTCAGTGTATGTTCATAGATTAGTTTTGGTAACTGACTACAAATTTGAGAACGCAAGTATTAGTGACAACCTCAGTCAACTCGCTAACAATTTTCCTTCTTGCGTTCAATGTGAGAGTCAAATTCTTCCGCCATCTTTTCTCATTATGCATACTAGAAATTTCAACTATCTTTCTTATTCTAACATAAACGTCCTTTTCGTTTCCATTTTCCTTAAAAAATAGTCTGGATTCGCAATCTTATCCGGTCTTTTGAACATGTTTATCCCTTGTTTTTTTGTTTAGGATTGGGTTTCCGGTTCCTTCTAGAGTTTTCTCGCTCTCCTTCACTACAAGTAATCCTTTGCATCTTAGTGACATTATCTCCTTACTTGGGGAGAACTGGTTTTAAAAAATATATAGTAATAATAATTCCTTATCTGAAAAATTCTGACGAAATATATTATTAAAATTTAGGTATGGTAAATAAAAATATATGGTAAATGAAATTCCGTGAGATCTATAACGGTGACATTTTAAAGCATAGAATGTCTGTAATTCCAAATTAGTTTATATTGATAAACGAATAAGAAAACGATACAGCTTAAATCATGGCTCTTCACTACTTCCCTTAATTTCCGAGGATCGCCTTTTTGTGGTGGGAATCTAGCTTTCTTATTGCCTTCTTTAATGTCTTGAATTCAGTGCATTTTTCTCGTAGACTGGCTGCAACCGAAGTCTAAAACGCCCCCCCCCACTCTACACTGCTCTTTAACCTATACATGTTTGCAAAGGAAAAGATGTATTCGTATCTTTCGTAAGAAAGTGAAATGAATGCGACTAGGTCGGATTTCGAACTCGGCTTGCCGATGTCATTTTCCGTTTCGCTACTCAAACGCTGTAAATATTATTCTTTATGTGCTGTATCATTTTAGGACATGTGTGGTCATGGCTCTCCACAACAACCTACTGCCCCTTATAGCACTAAGCAACATTTGACGCGTCACCATAGGTCTTTGTTTCCGCACTGCCATCCATGAACCCAAACTCATTAGGTAGGTTACTCTTATGAGTGTTACATTCTGCTAATCTTCTTTCTACATTATGCATCCCATGAATTTGCTTACAAGCATCTCTAGATGTCTCCTTCTCTAGATGCATCATCTAGATGCTTCTCTACAAGCATCTCTAGAAGTCTCCTTCTCTAGATGTCTCTCTAAGGTGTCCTTCTCTACAACAACAATGTTGTTCTAGAGAAGGAGACCTTCTCTAAAACAACATTGTTGTTTCCAGGTCCATCTTGGCTTGAAGACGAAGCCCCTGTTAGGGTCGCAGCTATGGGCAAATACTAAATCTCCTACCAAAAAATACTAGGTAAGTATAAAAATACATTTTTATAATAAAAATACCAGCAATACATTTTCATGAAAAGAAAATTACTAGCAATACCTATTTATGGCAGAATTAATCAAAAATATCTATTTATTACAGAATTAGCAACAATAACTATTTATCGTAGAATTACCAACAATACCTATTATTGCAGTAATTACCAGTAATAACTATTTATATCAGAACTACCAATAATACCAATGTATTGTAGAATTACCAACAATACCTATTTATCGCAGAATTATCAACAATACCTATTTGTCACAGAATTACCAGTAATACCTATTTATGGCAGAATTATCAAAAATATCTATTTATTACAGAATTATCAACAATACCTATTTATCACAGAATTACCAATAATTTTTATTTATCACAGAATTACCAGTAAAAACTATTTATATCAGAACTAACAATAATACCAATGTATTGTAGAATTACCAACAATACCTATTTAACGCAGAATTATCAACAATACCTATTTGTCACAGAATTACCAATAATAACTATTTATATCAGAACTACCAATAATACCTATTTATTGCAGAATTATCAACAATACCTATTTATCACAGAATTACCAATAATTCTTATTTATCACAGAATTACCAATAATACCTATGTATCGCAGAATTAACAATAATACCTATTTATCACAGAATTACCAGTAATAGTTATTTATATCAGAATTACCAATAATATCTATTTATTGCAGACTTACCAATAATACTTATTTACCTAGTTGGAGTCATACATATGGTGATCAAAATATTTACATTTCAGCATTGAATAACCCATATATGTGTTGATATGTCAGGAAACAAAATCAACCAAACGACCAATATGAAAGAACACTTTCTCGACATTCATCCATATAATATCCTAAAATGTCTTAAATCAAACTGTATTCCAAAACACAACTTTAACAAAATTACTTAAAAACTACATAAAACAGACATATCACCGCCTCTAGTAGTTATGTCCATACAAACATGTTTATGTACAAAAGCTGAGTATCATCTACCACGTATTCAATTGTGAAAGCAGAATAACATTTTCGATTACTTCAAAGCTCCCAAGAAAATTAAATTTTGGCATTAAATGACCCATAAAGAGTTGATATGCCATTAAACAAAAACGAGCAAAGAAATTATATGTCATAGTTAGTCCTTTCTTCTTGCTTTTCTTTAATGTTCTTTTAAGGAATTCTTGCAGTTTTCCTTCAGAGTCTGTCATCAACACTGCGTATTTTATGTTGTTAAGATCATGTTCACCGATATTAAGCATAGTTTACATAAGGCTAAAATTTATTGCAGTTACTTATTCAGTGAATTCTTGTAATAAATATCATCTTATAAAAGAAAGAATGACAGCAAGGCTTCAGCAGCAGCAGTAAATCGAAGTAAATCCGGTGAGTGTAGTCAAGCGGGACAAAGTAGCAACAGTGGCGGTAACAGTCATTAGCAGGCAATTTATGCTTAAGACCCAAAATTCTCCACTCAGAATTGTCACAATAACTTAAAGTGTTGGTTCGTGAATTTGTTGACAGCAATTGCATTTTCGGACTCTACGAAAGGAGAAAAATCTATCTCTGTAGATTAAACAAATGATTCGCCTACAGAACTCCCCATAAGTTACCCGGACCAGCGAGCACCTGATAAAGGCCGGAGAGTGCAACAGCCAAAACCTTGTTTTAGTAACAACAAAGAGGAGGATAATAGTCAGAGTGTAAGTAATGTAAATATTTTCTTGTCAATGCATTTACATTCGTATAGATTTCATCACTTCTGCTGAACCTTTATCTAAGGAATTCAAACGTTTGAAGTGAAGCAGATTCAACACAAGTCCTCAGTTGGCCGTCACATTAAAAGATCTAGCTTCCAGTAATTCGTTTCCAATTAAAACTGTCTGTTTTTAGCAGCTTGTCAATCATAAAAAAACCGGATGGCACAACAAGATAAAAATGGGTCATGATAACAACAAAGATGAGGACAACAGTCCGCGTGTAAATAATGTAAATATTTTCTTGCCGATGTAATTACATTCGTATAGTTTCAATCACTTGTGGTGAACATTAATGTAAGGACCTGAAACGTTTGAAGAGGGGTAGATATAACACAAGTCCTGAGTTGGTCGTCACTTTAAAAGAGGTATCTCCCAGTGACTCCTTTCCATTTGAAATTGTCTACTTTTATCCGTTTGTCATTTTTAATTCACGGATGTATATATGAAGGTTTGTTTCTATCCTTTTATCTTTCAGGTTTAAATTCGTGCAATAGACAAGCTTTCACAATCGACTGCCGAGTTGCTATGTTGATTTCACTCGTTACTACTATAGGTTTACTATTGTAAGTGTTATCTTGTCATAAATTAATAAGTATCGGTTCCTCATAATATGCGCCCTTACAGGAACCTCATTGAATAGTCAGCTACTATAAATGATGGCTCTTGTATTGGATGAAGAATATCATGAAAAAAAAAATACTTCTTTCATTTGTTTCTCCTAGTTTCCCCCCTCTCTCTCTCACTCACTCACTCCTCCAATCTTTCTCTCTGTCTCTCTCTGTCTATCTTACCCATCTCTCTCTCCCTCTCTTTGTCACTCTCATTGGTTTTATTCTTTCCCGCTCTTTTCCAACATTTCTTTTTCTTCTCTGTAACGCATTCACTTATTCATTTTGTTTTTAATCATTTCACCCCAAGCAAGGCGATAATGCCTCTAGTACGCTAGGGGGGGAAGCGGGTCACAGAGAGTGGGTATAGAGGGGAATGAGGAAAGCATAAAGGATAAACGGGGGCTGAAATTATCCGAAAATAGTATTGAAGTTACATCTAAATTTTTGAAGATCGTCGTTATCAGTGAAGCAAGTAAGACGGAAGGGAGTTCCACAGTCGGGAAGTGCGAGAAAATAAACTTTTGAAGTAGAAGGGTCGGTTACAGTTAACTATTTCAGCAGTAAAATCTAATCTAGTAGCATGCTTAAATTAATGTAACCGTTCCACCAGGGGTCAAAAGCTTGTCAGAGCAGTTGCTATGAAAATATTTGTAGAAAAGACCAAGGGAAGACACGTTACGTCGGTGCGAAAATAGCTGAATCGAGATGTCAAGTTGGGATCGATTATATTGCAGATCTTTCTTTGAATTTTGTCAAGAACCTGGAGATGAATAGCAAGGGCACCAGACCAGAGATGGCAATATTATTCAATTCACGGACGAATGGCAGATTTGTAAATATGCATGATGGAATCTGATGAGAACAACATTCCGGCATTATACAATTAACCAACTTTCCTTGCACTAGATGCATCTATTGATTCAATGTAGCTGTTCAACTTCAAGTCAGCTGAAAACGTGAGGCCAGGAAAGCGCAGTTAGACGGTCTCCTAGTCGAGCATCAGCCATGCTGATGGCGGACAGGGAAGTTTCTCTATAGTGGTTAAACGAGAGCAGTTTAAATTCTGGAGGTATTAAAATTTACAAGCCATTTCCTGCCCCTGCTAACCACTGATTTGGAGGTCCTTTTCAAGAGCAGCAGCCAGGATAACTTTGTCAGCTCTAACGAATTTGCTATTGAAACAGGAGTAAATTGTAATGTCATCTGCATAAATGCTGTTTGGCAACTAATGACACCAGGAATAACTTCAAGACGAACAGCAGGGGACAAGATCAGATATGCCAACAGTATTCAATGCACGGACGAATGGTAGATTTGTAAATGTGCAAGATGGACACTGACGAGAAAAACCTTCTGGCACGACACAATAAACTTTCCTTGCATTAGATGCAGCTATTGATTCAATGTAGTTGTTCCACTTCGTCAGTTGAAAATGTGAGGCCAAGACGCTATCCAGGAGTCGAGCATCAGCCATGCCGATGGCGGATAGGGAAGTGTCTCTATAGTGGTTAAATGAGAGCAGTTTCGTTTTGGAGGCATTAAAATTTTACAAGCCATTTCTTGCTCCAGTTAACCACTTAACAATCGCCTTTTTCTTTCTTCATGTTTCTCTTCTCCGAATTTTCCATCTTCTTCTTCTTCTTCTTCTTCTTCTTCGTCTTCTTCTTCTCTCGTATATTGTGTCCTTTTAGGACGTGGACAATCATGGCTCTTCACAATTTTCTGTTCTTTGTAGCTCTTAGTAATATAGTTTATCCTCCTGCTATCTATCCCAGTGTTGCCGGAAGTACCTGGGGACATTTGCTACTTGAAGTTTTGTATTTTAAGATGATCACGTGATAAATAAATTAATGTACAGTATTTACATTAGTCGGACTATTGTCCTCATCTTTGTCGCCATATTTGTCACAACGTTTCGGCCGTTGTACGCTCCGGCCTTCTTCAGGTGGTTGGAATTTCGAACTGAACCCTTTATTTCGATCGCTGGGGTAGACAGTTCTAATTCCACGTGCCATGTTTGATGGATGTCAGTTATCAGTTATCTCCTGCTAATTTTCCCTCTGAAAACACATGGCACAGTGGATAAAGGCGTTGGTTAGATCCAGTGACAGACCCAAAGAAGGTGAGTTCAATTCCTGGTTAAGGCAGTGGAGAACTTTCAGAGGGAAAATTAGCAGGAGATAACTGATAACTGACATCCATCAAACATGGCACGTGGAATTAGAACTGTCTACCCCAGCGATCGAAATAAAGGGTTCAGTTCGAAATTCCAACCACCTGAAGAAGGCCGGAGCGTACAACGGCCGAAACGTTGTGACAAATATGGCGACAAAGATGAGGACAATAGTCCGACTAATGTAAATACTGTACATAATACCTCATCTCAGAAATATAGACAAACTCTGAAATCAATTAATCACTTTCTTTTCTCTATCTTATCAAGACGTTAATGTTGTACCTTACTTCATTCAAATAAAAAGATTAGGAAGCACCCCCCCATCAACACTGGAAAAAGCGATAACATCTACACGACTTGAGAAATCTTTTTTCTGAAAAAATTGTTTTAATAGAAAGATTTTTTTAAAATTCCAACCTAAAGTAGCAGTGACTGTTCCAAATGTTTCTTCATAAGGAAACGGCACATATTTACCTTTTATAATCTAAGACATCTAATGTGGATTAAATTCATGCTCGTAGGGAACGAGGTATTCTGTGCTAGAGTACACTTCATTAAGATTAGGAAAATAATTCTGCGAGGAGAAAATAATGATATAATCAAGATGTTGACCTTCCACAGTACTTCAAACAAAAGGTTAGGAAGGAAACCTCAAAGAGTTTTGGAAATAGCGATAACAGCTACTGGACTCGAGGAACCTATTTTCCTGGAAAATTGTTTTAATAAGAAAGGTTTTATAAATTTCAACCGACACCAATACTGGCTGCTCGGTTAGTGAATGTCAAATGTTTCCTTGTAGGGAAACGGCAAATATTACCATTTCATGATCTGTTTGTTTTAAGTTTTTTTTGGGGGGAGGGGGTGTTGTGGGGGGCTCTATACCGCCACGAACACATGTGGATATCATAAATCTTTCTTTCCCCTTCTCCGTGTTTCCGTCTTACCAGTTCTTTTTTACATGTCTCTTTCTCTCCCTTTTTTTTCTCTGTTTATTTCAATCGCTAATTTCCTCACCCTGGCTTTTCTACATTCCTCCCTCTCTTTCTCTCACTGTCTTTCTCTCTCTCTCTCTCTCTCCTACGCCCTCTCTTTTCCAATTTTTCTCTTCTCTCACGTATTCTCTTGATTCATCCATCGTTTTTTCTTCTTTCTATCTCATTCTTTTTTTTTTCAATTTTCTTTTTTCCCTATTTCCTTCTTCCATTTTTATATTTTTCATTCCCTTTATCATTTGACCAATTTTTCTTTTAATATTTATCTTCAATAAATTCTTCTTCTCTTCGTATTTCCTCATTCTGTATTTACCCCATTCACTTCGAATTCCGTTTGTAAGGAGGAAGTTCTACGCGAACAGCCTCTTCCCCAGAACTGTTATTCTATGGAACAGATTCCCAAAACGATGCTTCTCCGATACTTATTATATTAAACTTTTCGAGTCTAGCGCCAACATTTATCTATCCTACATATCCTCATAACATGTACTTCTTACTTAATCTCTTTACACACTGACAATAACATCATTGGATAATCCTCTACTTTGATTGATGGCTCTTTTATTGGATGAAGAATAGGATGAAAGAAACTTTCTCTCTTCTCCATCTCTTTTTCTAGTGTCTTCTCTCCCTCTCTGTCTGTCTGTCTGTCTCTTTCTTTCTTTCTTTCTTTTTCCTTTCGTAATTTTTCTTTTTCTTCTCTCTAACGAATTCATTTATTAATAGTCGCCTTTTTTCTTTCTCCATGTTCCCTATTACTACCCACTTCCTTATCTAACTACCTATCTGTCTCTTATACCTTTCACTTCCCTTTCACTTGTATTTCATTTCCACTCTCTCTATTTTCTTCGTTTTTCTCTTTTCCTTCATTTCCGCTCCCCCTTTCTTTAAGTTTTTAAATCTCTATATCCCTCCTTACCGACCTTCCTATCTCTCTCCATCTCATCCTCTCACTTTTCCTTCATTTCCACTCTCTCTTTTTGTTCGTTTTTCTCTTTTCCTTCATTTCCGCTCCCCCTTTCTTTATTTTATTTTAAATCTCTACCTCTTTTCTTACCTATTTTCCCATCTCTCTCTGTCTCATCCTTTCCACTTCTCATTGACTTTTCCTTCATTTTCGTTCTCTCTATTTTATTCGTTTTCCTCTTCTAATTTTTCTCTGCATCTTTCCTTCTTTTTTTAAAAACGTCTACATCTTTTCTTACCTCATTTCCTATACCTCTCCACCTTTTCACTTTTCTTTCATTTGCGCTCTATCTATCTATCTATCTATCTATCTATCTATCTATCTATCTATCTATCTATCTAACCCAGTCTCTTCACTTCTATCTATCTATCTATCTATCTATCTATCTATCTATCTATCTATCATTCTTATTACCTTTAAACCTCTTTTTTGTTCCTATTCACTCCTTCTATCACGCTATCCTTCTCCTTTCTTTCTTCTTTTCTCTCTGCCCGTCTATCTCTCGTTCCTTCTTAGACTGCACAGAGTTCAATGTAGAAAATGATTTACAACTTTAGACTCACCAAATAACCATTTCCTCTATGTCCCACACTTTCAACTCTTCAAACCTCCTGTCGACATTCATCTTTATTGCCGGCCGTTTACTGTCCGTGCCAGGCATGGCACGGCCAGTCCCTAACCATTGACCCCAAAATGACCAATATTACTGCTGACTTTTCACCATCCAAACATTTGTTTGACGGACCACGATTATTGCCAAATCTCCTGACACTTTTCACGGCTTCCACCCTTTACCTGCAACACCACGCGATGGATTCAGACATGGACAGTGGACATTTTGCCACTCGAGACTTATTGATTACTAATTCAAGCGCCTGTGTAGGCACATAGCTATCCTTTGACATTACCTCACACCTTCTATTTTTTTTTTAGTCATGAGAGTCATTTGGGAATTTTGTGGAAACTAAAGAGCCTTTAAACATAAAAATTAAAAACGAAAATTAGTAAAGATAGTCACCAATTTTAGTCGATCTGGACACCGCATGTGAAGCATATATATTTACTACTACCTAATTACATAGTATCTAATTACATACTATCTGTCCTTTCTCAGACTCGATACGTGAGAGAGCTGGACTTACACGATCAGGCTGAGATAGATAGATAGATAGATAGATAGATAGATAGATAGATAGATAGATAGATAGATCAAATCTGGACGTGGGAATCACGATTCCTTAAAAAGGTAAATTGAACATAGGCGGACTTACATGAACAGGCTGAGATAGATAGATAGATAGATAGATAGATAGATAGATAGATAGATCAAATCTGGACGTGGGAATCACGATTCTTAAAAGGTAAATTGAACATAGGCGGACTTACATGAACAGGCTGAGATAGATAGATAGATAGATAGATAGATAGATAGATAGATAGATAGATCAAATCTGGACGTGGGAATCACGATTCCTTAAAAAGGTAAATTGAACATAGGCGGACTTACATGACAGGCTGAGATAGATAGATAGATAGATAGATAGATAGATAGATAGATCAAATCTGGACGTGGGAATCACGATTCCTTAAAAAGGTAAATTGAACATAGGCGAACTTACATGAACAGGCTGAGATAGATAGATAGATAGATAGATAGATAGATAGATAGATAGATAGATAGATAGATAGATAGATTAGGAACAAACGTACATATATAAAATTCTTTTCATTTTTCATTCAAAATACTCTATTTTAGGAATACGTTTCACAACATCGCCCACGTGACGTCGACGTGATCATATTGAAACGGAACGCTGATCTTGAAAAATTTCAGTTGTCTGTTTTGATTAGTCTTACTCTTATGTCCATCGTCTTTTCATGTTGAATTAAATATAGTCTAATGTTAATTATGTTTTATGAATATGTCCTGAAGATGGTCTACTAGACCGAAACGTCCGATGTTGACATTACATTAACATTAAAACAGCATAATTGCATATTAGGATTTTTGTTTGTTTTTTCCGTATATTTTTCTTCATATATATATATATATATATATATATATATACAAGTATATGATTGGTATATACGGAATGAATTCCAATAACCAACAAATACTATTCTTAAAAGAGTGCTCAATACAAAGTAGAGCAGATATAATTATTTATTTAAAAAATTTATAACATAAATATGTTATAAAATCACTACAAAAATAGCCATTTTGTTTCAACACTCTCAGTGTCTTATCAAGTGATGATGTTGAATGTAAAATAAATGGTTTTAAAAGTTTCAAATTAATTAACAATCCTTCACAAGGGGAAAACGTTGTTACAAAAGCTAGATGGACCAATCAAAATACAAGTATAGGAAAAAAAAAGCTTGACAACGAAGTCATGTTATAATAGCTATTCAAATATTTAAAATATGGGTAGTATTAAAAAAGAATTTATTCTAATCAATAATTACTAGATTATATGATAAAGTTTAATATTAAAATTAAAAACTGCTAATTTCAAGATCAAAATTTAATCGCTATTAAGTTTACTGAGGAGAAAAGAAGAAATATATATGTTATTCAATTTATTTCTTCATTGAAGTTACTTTAACTAATTTTATATCTGGTCTTTTGACAATGTATCCATTTTAATTCTAAGAGTGTGTGAATGGGGTCCTAAACTCACGAGTAAAACAAACGCAATCAGATTATAATATCTAAGCACCCAGACATATTTAGATATATATACACACACAAAAAAAGAGACGAGATAGAGAACATCACCACGATCGTATAAAAAAAAAATTATATATATATATATATGTATGTATGTATGTATGTATGTATGTATGTATAAAATATAGATAGATAGATAGATAGATAGATAGATAGATAGATAGATAGATAGATAGATAGATAGATCAAATCTAGACGTGGGAATGCAGATTCCTTAAAAGGGTAAACAGAACATTGCTCTTTGTGGCCGAATCCGTCTAAATCACCTCGTATAATACTGTGGTCTCTCTTACAAAGAGGGACGCAGGAGAGTACATTTTTCTATATAAGGTTTGCTAGATTGCTCTGTTCGATAGACGTAATAAACACTGTTTAAAAGCGGCGCGTCTATTCAAACAAAGGTATTCAGAGAAAACAACGTTTTAAGTAATAAATATATAAGTCTGCAACGATAGAATCATTATTAGTCCGATGAAGTCATTTCGAAGCCAGGTACTCTCAGAAATCTTCATATCTATTCAGTTTCATATACGAAAGAATTGATGAATTGATTTGATCACACACACACACACACACACACACACACACACACACACACACACATATATATATATATATATATATATATATATATATATATATATATATATATGAGAGTATATATATATATATACAGTGACAGAGAGAAATTTAAAAGCCAGCTAATA